TGGCCCTTTACAGTGATGGTGAACTGAGGCCCTAAAGATCCCCAGTCTCTCCAGGGACTTATCACCTCTTTAAATAGAGCAAGTTACTGTTTTAGTAGGAAGGAAACAAATTTGTACTTTTGTTTCTCCAGGTTAGGCAAAATCCTGGCTAACCACAAATATGAATGCTCTCCTGTAGTTCATTTAAAGTACAGCAAAGAGTCCTTGTTTGCTGGTTTTTCTCTTGCCAACGCCAAGCAAAACACCAGGGTGCATAGTAGCCACTGGGTAGCAATGAAGACTGAAGTCTTATTACTTGTAGGGCAAGTTCCCCACATTGGAAGGGTACGTGGTTCCCCACACTGGTCTGCATCAGCAATGCTCTGAGTGGTTTTTGAGCAGACGTGTCCAAGTCATGAGTCCTGTGGAGGGCTGGGATGAGGTATCTGCTCATCCCACAGGCTGGAAAAAATGAGCCAATGTGCAAATTGTGATAGGGCAGGAACTTTGGAAGGAGACAGGCCCAAACCTCCCTGCACGGCCTATTGCCTCTCTCAGGAGCTCTAAAGCCTTGTGTCTTTGCTGGGGAAGAAGGGGCACAGCTCAGAAGCTGAGGACATGCAGGGCATCATGAAGTGGCACCATCAGCTGCTGTCCCCTCTTCCCTGTTCTTATTTTGCTCTACCCCACCCACTGCCAGATCTTCATCTGGGGCTGTTGGTACTTACTGCCACACTGTGTTTTGATCCCAGAATCAAATTCTTGCCTAGTGTGAGTGAGTGAGCTCCATTTGCTCCTGTGCTACTGCAGTGCAATGCAGGTGTTAGGCAGCAGTGTCACCTGTGTCACAATTGTGAGGATACGTGATTTGTATCCTCATAGCACAGGGCAGGGAAAGCAGCTGTAGTTGTCAGGAGCTGGTGGAGTTGATGCAAAAAAATACGTGAACTGGAGAAATGTCAGTCAGATGAAAACAAAGAGAAAATCAGTCAGTAAGAATCAGAGCATAACGACAGATCATCCATCATGGGGAGACTAGGTAAGATGGTGGGGAAATATGGGAAGCGTTTCCTAGTTTCATTGATGATCTTAAGGAGCGTACATGGTCAGCCCAGATCAGGTTTGCTAACAACATGAGAAACAAAGGAAAGTCATACAGAAAGGGGAACCCAGGGGGCTGAATCAACTTGCCTATGATCCAGAAAGCTCAGAACTCTGGAAAGCTTGCAGTGAGGACAAAAGTCTACAAAAGCTCTAGAGACTGGAAAAGAAGAACAGAGCTACAGATTTTAAGTCTGAGAAGACGCAAGTGCTGACAGGCATAGATGAGATCCTTGCAGGGCCATAGAGCTGTGAAGAGTGTCAGGTGCTACTCTCAGTAGTGTGCAAATGAATTATCATATAACTCTGTTCTTGTATAGGGATTTCAATTATTCATCTAGAATTCGATGTTTCTAGATAATAATCTAGAAATACTATGCCTGCAATTCTGTTTGCCTGAGGTACAGGGACAGGTGGAAAATGGAGAAAGTCTCTGTAGCTTAATAATGGCAGTGCAAAGACAGTGAACGAATACGGAGGACAAGAGAAGTACCCCCAGAATTGGAGAAAACATCAGAGGAAGCACGAGAAAGGAGTATATTCTAGAAAGAAAAGGTGAGGAACCATCTGAGTAACAGTCCCAACAAACAAAAAAGGAGTTTTTCACGTTCTTATGGTGCAGTAGTGGGAGCTACAGTGGAGAAGGCCATGGCAAGGCAAAGAGGGTGTGCTAAGCAGGTGCACTGGGAATGTATTTAGATAGATAGTGCTCCAAAAGGCAGTCAGAATGGTCCTTAAATGTCTACTGCATACATAGCGAGCCCCAGGCCCCCAATCATCCAGTTTTAAAAACTTGCCAACCTTCTAAACCATGAGCTTGATTTTATGTTCCTGTTCAGCAAAACCCAGGAGTCTCCATGTCTCAGAGCAGACTACTGTCCTGTGAGTATTGGTAAGGAAAGGCAGATGAAGAGAGCTTTAAACTCCAAGGGAGCCTGGAGCAGCTGTAGGGGCTGAACCAATACATGCCCAGAGGAGCAGGCAGCCTCCCCACGGAGCCAGTGCAGCTCAGCAGTCCCACATCCTCCTGTGTTTATTCCAGGTATAGGTGCTTCCTAGCTCTGTTCACCACAAAATGAACACTTTCCATCCCTCTTCCTTCCTTGCTTCCTTCTTTCACAGAATTACTTGCTGCCGATCATGACTTTTGTTTTAATGGCTGCTGTGCCCCAGCTTGGTCAGGACATAGGGTTTTGCCTCCATGTTTACTGCCAAGATTCCTAACCCAAGAAAAGGCCAAGCTGGCCATGTGAGTTGCCACCCGTGGCAGAGTAACACTTATATAAGGATATTCATGGCCAAACATAATCCAGAAGGGGGGTGAACGGTAGAGGGGTAATAGGAGAATAAAATATTATCTCAGTCTACAGTGCTTCTGGGAACTCTACCTCTAGCTGGCAATAGAGTTGCATCACCTTCAGCCACGGGGTATTATTTTGCCATCAGAAATGCTCTGCATTAAATACATGATTTTCCTGGGAGCCTTCTGTACTGACACTGTCCATGGAAATAAGTCTTGATGTAAAGCAACTGCTTATCCACCGCTAGGACTATCAGGTGGCAGGGAGCAGCTGAACATGCCTTTCTCAACATTCACCTCATGCTTGTACGTTATTCAAAGAGGGAAAAAATAGCTTCATCCTCAGGGAGGCTGAAATTGCTACTTTCTTTGCTGTCCTAAGGAAAGTGAGTGCTAAAAACTAGGAAGAAATAGAATAAGGCACCAGGTCAGACATACTGCCTAGCAAGGCCTGGCATAAGGAACTCAACTGACTCTGTCCTCTTAATGCAGGGCAGAGCAGTAAGATAGTGCCCTGCCTGATGGGAGCAGCCTACATTGAAAGTTACTGCTATAGGAGCCCTCAGGCAGAATAGATAAAGGCATGTTTAGCCCAAGCGAAAGAGAAATGGGAAGTTTAAAAATTGCCTTGCAATATTATCTGCTCTGGGGAATAATGTCGAGCATTTGCAGCAAGGCATGAGAAGTTAGAATCTGCATGCTTTATTTCTGTTAGTCTAGTAACTTTTCTGTGCCTCATTTTCCCATTCTGTTCCCCAGTTAAGTAATTTTATTTTAAATCTGCTTTATTTATAGGCACCCCGAGATGTAAATTCATCAGTCCTACTCCACACTGAGGTGTCATATGAAAACAAGTTTTCAATTACCTTGATTTTAATCTTATTAGGTAGATCTCAACTCTGATGTCAGGTAACATCTTGTCCTGCCTTCGTGTTTGGGTTTGAAATACTCCATATGTAGCAGAAACCAGGAAAGATATTCACAATTAAGGTCATCTCAGGTCTGTCACCCATGTACTACACTACTTTTTTAGTACTTTATTCCACCTGGAGAGGTTTTGAGTAGTAGGGATCCCACTACAAGTAACTGTTCCAAAAGCTGATTTCCCAGCTCCTGCCTGTCCTTGCTGGCAGCCCTCTACTGCTGATACCTAAAAAGTGATAAATTCTCAGAGCTCACCAGCTGCTGCCAGACATGGATGCCCTTGCTGCAGTGTCTGCAGAGAAAACACTCTGTAAAACCTGATGCAGACAAGCCTCTCCCTGAGCTTGACAGGGTGAGAGAAATAAATGAGCTACTGACAACACTCTTTTAGGGCTATGCTGACTAAAAATTATCTCTACTTTGTCCTTGATCACATGTAATACTGCAAGCCTTTGTGCCCATGGAGAGCTGAGCTGAACAGGGGGCTCCTTGGGAGTCCCTCAGAACTAGCGCCCTGTGCTTGGACACACAGATAGCTAAGGAGCAAACTGAGCTGCTGTGAGATCTCTGAAAGGTCAGGCCTGGGAAATTTAACCTTCACCTTCTTTCCTGACACCATAATTTCCCCTGAGTCTTCTTCAACCCAAAGTGTTAGAGAAACCAATGACCTCCACCCTGTTTCCAGCACATATAGGTGCTACAGCACAGCTGGTTCTGTGGCTGCAGCTTCTACAAGTGACTCCCAGATCCCAGACCCTTTCCTCTGTTCCTTGGGACATCTTGGGTGAGGTAGACCCCGGCACCAAAGCTGCAATAGCAAGCCCCAGTCCCTGCAGATCTGACTTGACTCTGCTTCTTCCCAAGCTAGAGGAGCTAACCCACTTGGCATTTGCAGGAATGAGATTTCTGGAAGGAGATCCAGCATAGGAAGAGAGCATGGGTGAGTGGCAGGGTGCAGAGGACTTACTGGCCTGCTTGGCTTTCTCTGCATACGTGGTGGTTAGATCTTCATCAACCGGGTGCTCCACTGGCCCCACCATGGGGATGAGATGACGTTCTGCTCGGATAGCCTTGGTGGCATGGGGCAGGAGCATCGCTTCGGGAGAAGGTTCCCGTCCCTCTGTTGACGGTGGCCGCAACTGTCCCTCGGTGTCCGAGAATGGAGTGTCTGCGGGGCTGCCAGGCGGGCAGGCAATCTCCCTCTTGGCCACCCCGACAGAGCTGACCACCTCGGGCGCCCCCGGCGCAGCAGCCTCCAGCATGCTCTCGTAGCCGCTCTGTTCAGACAGAGACACCTCATCCTGAGGTGCGTCTGCCTTGCTGTTGATGCTATCAGGCGGGGAGCGTGGGCTTTTCTTGCGAGCTCGGCGGTGCTTCTCCTGGGCCACGTTGTCGGCATCGCTGTCTGTCTCACCATAGTAGGCCTCGCTGTCCGGCGGGGAGGTGAGGCTGTCCAGGTGCCTCTGTGACCTCCGTGGCTGTGAGGGCTGTGTGGTGGCTGGGGCTCCTGCTGGTTCAGGACTGAGTAGCTGTGCCGGGGGGCTGAGTGGAAATGGTGGGGAGAGCACTCGCTGCCCTGGAGATGGGGAGCGCTGGAGCCGTGGACCGGTCTGGTCACCACCAACTATCCTGTGGGGAGAAGGAAAAGTGGTGAGAGAGGTCTGGTTGGTGGGGCCGAGCTGGAAGGGAACCCCCACATGTGAGAGAGGGTTAAGGGTTGGGCTGGTGTTTCAGGTGTCTTTCTGGCAGTACAGAAGTGCAGACACCAAGGGCAGACTCTTCTCTCACATCAGCTACATGCTCTCATCCTGATTTTCTGCTTTGTGATCTTTGAAAACCAGGTGTTAAGCACTTGAAAACCAGAATGCCCTGAGAGCATAAAAATCTACTGAGCCAGCTTAATCAGCTCCCCAGGCATTTCTCCAGGGGAGGTGAATTCCTGCATAGCAAACACCATTCCCCAGGACCCTGGGACATACCCCTGCAGCCTGCTGCTTGCCACAGTGGGGAGGGGGAAGAGGGGGGGAGAGGGGTGCCTCAGCCATCACACTGCACTCCAGCTGCTCCTGCAGCTGGGACTGCACGGTGGAGCTGTGTCAGCTTTGTGGATCACAGCACCCCCAGACCGCTAGCTCAGAGCAGGCTCCGAACAAAAAAGTGAGTGCTGTTTGTTTGCCCTGACCTCTGCATGGGACTAAATAACAAATACTTAGGAAAAAAAGGCCCAAGGTTTTTTTGGGGGTAGGACTCTGCTATCCTGTGGTAGGAGTCCACCCTGATGCGTGGTCTGCTCCATGTGGGCCTGCTTTGCAACCAGTGCCTGGGTTTTGACAAGCATACTGAAGTCATGCCAGCCAGCCCAATCCATGGTGGCATTCGCCTTTGGCTTAGACATAGTAACTTCTAGCCTGTAAGTCAGATGGAAGGATGACCGGAGTAGGGGCAGGGCAGGCTGGAGCAGTCAGCCCAATCGCTGACTGCCAGGGGAGGGAGAGCTGGCTATGCCGATGGGAAAAGAGCAAGCTCTGTCCTCCCTTTCCTCAAGACTGAGTTTGGATTGCAACGGCAATTTGACTCTAGACCACGCAGATGGGGCAGGGAACTTCTTCATTCCCTTGCCAGAGTCACCAGGGCTTGTTAGAGTCATTAGGGAGCCCTAAGTATTTGCCTTCTGAGCATGCAGACCAGGAAGCCAGGCAAACAGTGTTGCCTCTGTAAAGCTGTGGAATTAATGACTTGGATCCCAATTCTAAACTGTGAAAAATTTACACTTATGTCTAATGCAAACCTTTGTGGAAGCTAAGGGTGGGACAATGACAGTTTGTTAAATAATATTTGCTATTATTAACTCTCACTGGAGAGTAAACTTAAAGCTCTCCAAGCAAAACAGAGCAGTCCTTTCTCTTTACGTACTCGACCAGATAACTGAAAAGCATTACTGCTTGTAAGCCAGTTTTTCTTGTTCTCCACTGTCAGATCACAGTACCTCTCCCTCTCCCTCTCTCTCTTTTCACACATCTTCTGCACGGACAGGAATACACATAAGACCTTGCATACTCCAGAGTCATCCAGCTACCTCTCCTCTCTGAACAAGAATGAGACTGGTGTTTTCTCTGGGAACATAAATATGAAGTGGGAATAGAGATGTGATCAGAAAGCAGTATTTGATGACTTTACCACTACCGCAAGATGAAGCCAACTGGTTATGTTATTTCCAAACCATCCAGTGTTGGCTCCCAGAGGGCTGCAAGAGGCCTCCCTCTGTCACTTTGCTAATTCAAAGTGTGCTGATTTTGGCCCATTGGAATTTGCCCAGGCACCTGTTGGCTGCAGATAGGCTCCACTGGGGTGAGATAAGGCCTTGGCAAGGGACCAGGAGCTATTCTGGACACCCTGTGCAGGGCTCACTCATCCCACTTAATCACAGCTAGGGTATAGGGTGAGCGCATCAGAAGGCACCGGCACTTTCTCTGTCGCCAGTGGGAAGATCCTACATGCTCAGGCTTTCCTTCTCTGAACACTGTTCACCTCTGCCCCTGCTTTACAGATGCCAGCAACCAGCGTGGATCTCCCTCCCCACTGCTCACAGTGCTCTGTCTTCTCAGGGCTGCAGAATATCACATCTCCCAGTCTGTTCTGGCTGCAGTGTGGACTAGCTGGGACCTCACACAGCTTTGCTGCCTTCGTCTTTTTATGATTCGTTTACAGCTCGGGCCTCATCCAGCATGCACTGAGGCACTGGGTTAGCTTTAGCACAGCTAGAACCAGGGATGTTACTGGGATAATTTTTGTGCTTAAATTTGAGCCTGGTCTCCAGTATTCTTCCAGACTAGAGACTTTGCCAGAGATACTTCTTCCAGTAAAAAGATACACTCCTCTTATCTTTGTGGGAGTCAGTTCACATACTCTCGGACTATAATGGCCTGCTGTAGTAAATACTCAGGTAATCTTGTCTTGTCTCAATTATCCAATGTGTAGTCAAATCCATTTCTACAGAAGAGTTATTTACCCAGAATGAACTGGAGTCTCTATTGGTTACTGAGATGAACTGCCCTATAGCATCTGCTTGCTTGGAGCCTAAATTGCTCATTCTTTGCAGCACAGCCGTCACACTGCAACCATTTCCCTCCAGCCTGAGGGGCAGAGAGGTCTGGCGCCAGTTCAGCCCCAGGGCCAGGCACTCTGGAGAGCAGCACAGAGACAGTGCAAAACTTTTGGATGGCCACATGTTAACCATGGGGAAGTCCTCCTAGTACACCTTGCAGTATGGAGAAACCAAGGGCTTCCTGCCTTCTTTCTGCTAGGTGTGGATAGCTGCTGTGCTGGATGCAGCTGCCCCACTGCCGGTACTGTCACAGCGCCAGCACTTGGAGGCAGGTTACCTTTTCACACGGATGTTGAGCGTGCCATTGGAGGAATCGATGATCTGCATGGCAGAAGCATGGGAGAGGCCAGCACAAGACTTCCCATTGATGGACACTAGCACATCATTTTCCCACAGGCCTCCGCGGCACGCTTTGCTCCTCTTTCGGATCTGGAAAAGCAGAAAACAGAGGATAGGTATGAAGGGACGAACAGCAGCTATTGAGTCCAGTTTCTTGTCTCCTGCTGGCCCTCCTATTGCTTTGTCCCTGACAGAATAAAATAAGGCCTAAGACTACTGTGCTGCCAGGGTGGAGGACCAGTCCTCTTGGGTGAGCTCTGGCTGTGCCTTTTGGTCTCTCTACTCCCATTAATTCCAAGAGTCACTCTGCTGAGCATAGGCCTGACCTGATCACCAACCAAATTTGAGTCCTACAGTACAGATGAAAGACTCAAGAACACTTACATGCTCTACTCTTCTTGTTCCCTGTCTCCTAGGTTGCTTAGGGAGTCTGTTTTTCAGAGAGGGAACAGGAACTCTTTACAGACTACCCCTGCACATGGCTGTGTCCTTCTGTATGCCTCTACTGTGCTTCCTTGGTATGATCCTCAACACTCATGCAGAGCTCATACAGGTACCATCCTTGGGAAGGCTGACATCAGGAAGAGATGGGTGGCTCCAAGAGACTTCCTGCTGTCAAGCATTCTTGCTCTGTTGGCTTTGGCCAGTGTATTTCTGGACATCTGCATTAGGCCATCTGGTGTCCTGTTACATAGGTGTAAACTTGGAGTAAATCTTTAGCCTTAACAGGAGCTACACAGGATATGCACTGCTGTATCAGAGAATGGAGTCTGGGTCTGTAGTTCCAGGCTAGTTCCTAGATCTGGCTTCTCATGGCCATCTTACACCAAGAGTTTCCTCTCCCTTTTGTTCCATCATCCCTCAGTTAAACTTCTTGCTGAAACTCCTGACCCAGCCTAGCCCTTCTATTAGGGGAAGCAAGCAAACCAAGTGCCCACTCGGCCCAAAACCACAAAACTGTGGCATATAGGCAAGCAATGGGATAGTCTTGTAGGACAGCTTGGTACACATAATGCTCTCATTTTGCACATAAAAGAATAGCTGGATAAAAACACTAGACCAGGGCAAATCAGGCCCAAGGTAGTAATACACTGGATTTGTAGATGCTTCTAGAATATTTCTTCAGATCTTGCAGTTAGGTGACAGACAAACTAATGCAGAGCTGTTTAACAGACAGTGCAGTGAACAAACTGTGGCAGGTCTCTGCAGAGAGGTAACACACAGCAGGGCACCTTCTCCCATACCTTATATCCTTGCTGCTTGAGCAACCAGACTCAGCTATAAAATCGCACGTGCTACTTCGCCCACACTCCCATGGCAGCCCCAGGCAGGAGAAGTGGATGTGAGAGGATTGCTGCCCAGGCTGTCTGCATCCATGGGGTGCGTGCACCCCCAGGGCTCAGCCCTGCTGGCCCGTGTTGAGCTGACGAGAGCAGCACTCCTCCCAGGTCAGCCTGTCAGCAGGACTGAGAGGCGTTGAGGAGGAAGATGGAAAGAGGAGGGCTATGCTCCAAGTTGTTTGTGTGTTCACTGGCACTTTATCACCCTGTAGCCTCTCCAGCTTGACCCCAAATTTTGCCTGCATGCTTAAAATAGGGACTGGCTCATCCCAGCTGCCACATCCATCAGCCTCTGTCATCTTAGTCCTTTATCTCCCTCCTTGTTAATAAAAGTCTGGAATGAGAATGTGGGGGTCTGTAATGAACTGCAGCTGAAGAACCACTTTTCTGCTGTTTCAGTATAAATGCTGCTTCCTGATATTCCCTCTAGGTACTGAGAAGAGATAGTAGATACATTTTCCAGTGCTGCCTACCGACACAGCAGCTAATGCAGAGAGTTGGAAAGTTGAAGGGAGGTTAGGAGGAGGGTCTCCTTCTCATATTCCCCAAAAGGCCAACTGCTGCTCCATGGCCAAGTGCTTGGTGCTCAGCAGTAGATGGGAACACACTTGCTGAGTATCTCTCCCAGTTATGGAGCAAGGGGACTGGGGGTTAAAGGCTGTCAGCAGGTGCTCAGAGCATTCCTCACATCCCATCATACTCCTCCATGTCACTTAAACCAACTGGATGTGGGCTGGTGACCACCCAGGGAAGAGCCAGTAAGCTTCCTGCAATCCTCTGGTCACACAGTCCTGCAGCACATTGCAGGCAAGTGTTTGGGATTCCCAGGCAGGGAAGGTCAGGCTGCACTCACAACACTGCCTTCTGCAGGCACCTTTAGATCAGAGTAGGCCGGTGGGACACAAGCTGCCCCACGCAGGCTGAGCAACATGAGCAGGCAATGCATTTGTTCTGCGGTTAGTAAAGGTGCTGGGTTTGGCTTGGTCTGTGCTCAGATTTTATCAGGGTGACAGAAGGCCCGCACACTAGAGCAACTATAATTACTTCAGTGATGTTGCAGAAGCCTGCAAACTAGTTCCACAATCCAGGAGGGGACTTCTCCCTGTCTCCATTCCTCTTTGGGAAAACACGAGCAAGTCTCTTCCAGCACAGGAAGAGACCTACAGAATCTGAAAATATCACATAAATGTTCCTGCCTGTCAGTCGCTCACAGGTTTATAAATCCCTCCCTGGAGGTTCATGAATCCACTTCCCAGGGCAGAAGGAAACAAACTATTCACAGCTTCATTTTCACGACAAACCCCTGCCCTACTGCATTGGTCAGGAAGGAAAGCAAAGGAGTTAAAGACAGAGGAGGACTGTGCTGGGAGGGAAGGAAGAAAGCACGTCATACAGAAAGGACAGAACTTAATCCATAACCATGTCAGCAGAGTGCTGTGTCCCTGAGGCTGGAGAGCCTCTGGACAGAGACCAGCACAAGCCTGCCAGGTTTTATATGACTGCCAGCACGGTGCTGTGGAGACAGTCTGCACTTCTCACTCGCAGGGAGGGCAGCACTGAGCCTGTGAGGCCCCAGGCCAGGGCTGCCCACCCTGAAGGTCAGGCTGCCCTCAGGCTCAGCCACTTGCTCCCCATGTCCAAAAGATGCCCCCTCCTGGGCACCCAGCGAGCCTCACAAAGCATCACTAACAGAGAGCTTCTGCTTAGGCTGCAGACAGATTGGAAGGTGTCTCCCAGCAGAGCAGCTGTTCTGAAGAGATGGGAAAGGATGGGAAAAACAGAATTTCACGAAGAAATCCCCTCTGTTTTCTGTAGCAGATCCCGGCAGAGCTCTCTTGTGTGCATGAGAGGCAGCACTGAGGGACTTTGACAAGTGGTCAGGGGTAGCCCCACACCTGGCCCTGGAGGCTTGCACTGTCTGACCTCCTAGCACATACTGCAAGGATCCACCTCTCCTTTTGTGGGAGGAACCCCACAGACTCTGAGGCTCTCGTAACTAACTGCCTGTTACACTTTCCACTCCATGCCTGGGTGGACAGTCTCCCCCATGGCATACCTTGGCTCACATGGGAGAAATGTCCTCTTTAGATCTTAGCTGGGTTTAGGGAATCCCAATTTCAGGGTCTTACTGATTTGTGCTACTGGAAATACAAATCAGTGTGGAAAACGGGAACTATAAAGTAATGAAACACATTTACTTAGAAGATTGTCCATCTCACTGCCCTCTCAGCAGGACTTCTGCTGTGACAAAAGAGCTCTTGTCAGAGAGGTCTGGATGTCTGCAGCACCTGGGTAGATGAACACACACGTGCATGTTTTCTTCCGTTATTTTGCCCCCTTCCTCTCACTGATCATATTGGATCAGACAGGAGGGAAGCGACAGAAGCAGCTGAGGGGAACAAAAGAAAAGAATGAAGGCAACAAATGAGGAAGAAAGGAAGAAGAAAAGGTGTTGAAGGGAAGGCCAGTGCTAGGAGAGGCCAGGAAGGCCAGGGCTGGGATCAGGCTTAACAGTACAGTACAAGTTTCTTTGTACAGCCCTGGGGAGACAAAAGGACATGCTGATTATTGGACGTGTCTCGGGGGAATTCGGCCTAGCTTTCGGGAACAGAATGCAAGAGAGGAGGGGGTCAGATGCAACTTGGCAGCATCTGTCCTTCAGTAGGGACTATATTTAGATAGTGGTATGTGGGGGGTGAACACATAGTGGGATGCCAAGAATAGAGTAATCTTGATAGCAACTCGCTGGCTTCACTTCTTGGCTAAGTACAGCCCAGGGAACCAGTCTTGAAACTTTGCAACCACCCTCCCTGCTGGCCAGCACCGCTTCTTCACAAGAAAGGAAATATGATGCAGGTAGCCAGAAGTGGTTTGCAGTGCCTTCAGGAATAAGATGGCTCATGCTGTCTTCCCCCGTGCCTCCCCAAGACATCTCCCACCTTCTCTCATAGGGAGAGCTCAGTGTATAAGGTAGAAAGACAAATTACATTATCAGTCTTCCTCTAATCTCCTAAAATCTTTCCAGCAGCAACCTAGCAAACTCAGGAAAAGTCAGAGTCATATACTGAATACAATCCATCTTTCCTCCCAATGCTCCTTCCACTCTCTGATTGCATTTCTCATTACACAGCTGCCTCCCTTTCCTAAGCAGCTACAATGCCATGGGATCCAACACTCCATAACAACCTGGCAGTTTTTAAATTTCATTCCCAGGCTTATGTAAATGTAGTCCTGTCACAGGGTTCCCACGGAGAGGTAAGAACTGCCTTGTTGTAGTATCAAGTATTACCGAAAGGGAACAAACTCAGGCAGAAGCTAACCAGTATTTGGGTCTGCTTCTCCCAGAACTGCCTGCGCAGCCAAGCCACAGACGCAGTAGTTGCTAGGTGTAAGAGCAGAAACAAACACCCTCCGTCTCTTCTTTCTGAACATTTGTGTTGACATAATTTTGGTTACTGGAAGTTTGGTTTTCCTCCAAGGCCAGGGCCTAATCTTTACTTGTGTAAGGTAGGATACCCCTGTGGCTAAAGCACTAGAGTGGGATTGAGGAGACCTGCATGTTTTTTTGTGTGACCTTGGAGAAAACACTTGGACTGAAAGCCATAAATGACAGGAGCCTGGAAATGGGGATGTTTTTCAACAGTCGGATGCTCCAGCTCTTAAATTTTCTTTGTCTCAGCTGCCCACCTGAACACAGAGATTTAGTAAGATACTTTTTCTATGCCTTATCTGTACATATGTGAATAACAT